GTTTTAAACATGTTGTCTATTGATGTAATTGTGTGATCACTAGTTCTTTGTATTATGTGAAGTGGAAACAACACTTCCCTATCTACTTTCTCCACACCATTCATAATTTTATAGCTCTCTAACATGCCCCTCCTTCCCCGAGCAGTCTCTTTTCCAAGCTAAACAGTACCAATCTTTTTAATCTGTTTTCATAGGGAAGCTGTTCCCTAATCACGTTCATTGCCTTTCTCTATTCTTTTTTTCAATTCTAATATGGATTTTTGGGGGGATGAGGTGACCAAAACTGCATGCAATATTGAAGGTGTGGATGTGCCATGAATTTATATACAGATATTATGATATTTTCCCTCTTATTATCTCTTTTGTAGTGGTTCCTAACATTTTGTTAGCTTTTTTTATTGTCACAGCACACTGAGCATATGTTTTCAGAGAAACAACTACCATCCCACTGCAGTATGGATGTTGGAAGATATGTAGTTAGTGCCATGAGATAATTGTACACCTTTTTGTAGTTATACTATGTAATAAACATTTATAACATTTTACATGTATATAGAATTATCACCACTGAAATGTAGCCACCTGTCCTCTGGAATGGAGCAAGGCACCTGTGCACAGAACAGAACAGTGCTACATAACAGTTTAGGATGGGAAAAATCTTGAATCCATTCAAGAGGGGGGCAGGATTTAGGAAGATGAATGTACTACTACTACTACTACTACTACTACTACTACTAACTTTGCAGTTCTGTAGCACCTTTCAAGATGCATTTCAAGATAATGCATATTATTTTCAATTTGCAGATAGAGAAGCTGTGGCACAGAGAGGTTAGAAGACTTGTCCAGCATCATAAAAGTCACTTCTAGATAAAGGAATAGAACCCAGGTTACCTGACTCCCAATACTTTGTGCTAAACACTAGTCCAACATTGCCATTCTAAGCTGGAATTTTGCTAGAACACCAGAGTCAACATTACTTGGTATCTTACCGCTTTCAGAAGCTCAGCAGCCCCAATCCCTGTATTGAGGCAAAGGTTCTAGTATTTACTCAATGCCATCTACAACAATACCAGTGCCACCTCCTGCTATACATGAATTTCCTTAGCACACAGACTTACTACTAACCATTTGAAATCTGAAAATCAGCTGAACTAGCAGCTTACATGGGCTTTCAAGTTTCTATTAAACTTTCACACACTCTTATCTCAAATGCCCCCGACTGATTGGAGGATTTACAGAAATCTCTTCCCCTTTCTGTTCCACAACACTATAATACACCCCCTTTTTCATTCAACTCTTCTACCTCTTTCCATGTTCTCCTACTCACTGGTCTGATTCCCACCCCCCTACTTATCCCGAGCCCTCACTCATCCCTTTTGCAACAGAGGAAGGAAGGCTGGGAAACAAAAAACAAAAAAAACAAAAACAAAAAAGAGGAAAAAAAGAAATATTCCAAGAATGAAGAGGCTGAGGAACCCCCCTCCTTCTGCAATCTCCTTCCTTCCCCAGTAGCAGGATGGGGGAGTCTAGAGAACAAAGAGACCATTGCTGGAAAAATCAAGGTTTGAGAGAGCAAAGACAACAATTTAAACAATATAAAGAAGAGGAAGTGTCTTGTCTCCAGACAAGCTATTGTCTTCCAGGCTGAATAATAATGTTAATAATCCTGCTAGGCCTGGAAGCTAGCACAATAGAAGAAAGAGAGGGGAGGTGTAGTTCACAACTTGACCATAGCTTCTGTTGTTAAGTAAGCATTATCCCCAGGGCTTTGGAATACGAATTAGAACTGCATATTGTGGGAAATATCAAAGACCCCTTCAACCAAAGGGTCCATATTTGTTTTACACCCAGGATTTTCAGTGGAGGCTGTTGTCACCTGGGGCCGGGGGGGGGAGGGACATGTGAAACTTCTACATTTCTTTCCAGCAGGGGACAGAGATCATAAGGAATCTGATTCCAAAATGGCCTACTCTGCCAGCCTGCCCAGGAGGGATTCCAGGGAGGATTTTTCACATGAGAGTACAGTGAGTACCCACTTATTCAAAATGCAAAAACGGAACACATACAATAGCCCTGCCCTGCTCTGTGACCTCACCCTCTGGCCAGGCCTCTACATTTCTTTCCAGCAGGGGACAGAGATCATAAGGAATCTGATTCCAAAATGGCCTACTCTGCCAGCCTGCCCAGGAGGGATTCCAGGGAGGATTTTTCACATGAGAGTACAGTGAGTACCCACTTATTCAAAATGCAAAAACGGAACACATACAATAGCCCTGCCCTGCTCTGTGACCTCACCCTCTGGCCAGGCCAGAAACCAGAGCTGGAGAGTGGTAAGAGCTGGCCAGGGAATAGGGTTGCCAGATGATCTCCCAAAAAATACCAGACACCAGGTATTTTTTTGGTCGAGAGAAAAAAAAAAAAAGAAACACGGAATAAGCGGCAATTGCAACCCCGCCTCCCACCAGCTGGGACTCCTGAAAGTAAATTGAAAGAATGCGGCAGTTTTTTCAACTGCAGAAAACCTCGTTTTACGAGGAAGAACGCCTTTTTTCGAAAGTGCTCTGTCAAAAAAAGGCGCTATATAATGCAAACTGTGCTTTTTCGAAAGAGAGCATCCAGACTGCCTGGGTGCTCTCTTTCGAAAAAGCGGCTTGCTTTTTCAAAAGTACTGGTCTAGACACTCTTTTTCGAAAGAGGCTTTTAGTCTAGACATAGCGTGGATGTCTGAACAATGTAACTCAAAACCTTTGCCCAGGCCTCTACACTCATGGCCTTTCATCTTTACACTGCCATGGACTATCTAAGCACAAGTAAATGAAGGTTTGTGAACTGTGCCTCATAGGAAGTGCATTTTCCAAGATGTGGCCCTGTAGACTAGAAGGAATTAATGCAATGAGAATAGCCTCCTAAATCTAGGCTCATCTCCGCTCTTTAACCCTGGCCTTTCAGCTCACTGACTTACAGGACCATGAAGATGAGAAATAACATAAATAATAGCATGGGCAGTCGGTGAACCCCTGGACTGGGAGGCTAGGTAGCCCCCAGCCCCACTCCTTCCACCTGAGGCCCTAATACCGGACTTTCCAGTAGAATACTGGATACTTGGCAACCCTACCAGGGAACCCAGGCTGCCCCATCTGCAACCTTGCAGAGCTCAGCCCTCACTGTGGCCATTGGTCCCCACCTCAGGATAGCACCCAGACTGCCTCCAGCCTCCCACCCCAATCCCAGAGCACTGGGTGGCTGGACAGCATGACTCTAACCCTTTGGCCTTGGAGTGCCAGAGAGCTGGGCAGTATGGCCCCAGACTCCCCTAGCTCCAGAGTACCAGAGAGCCAGGCAGCACAGTCCCAACCTCCCCAAACTGTGCTGCCCAGCCTGCTTCCCAGCTGGCCTGCGCCAGAGGTGAGGCCTCAGGGTGGAGAAGGGGAGATGGGGTCGTGGCCTGGTGATGAAGGGTGCTAAAATTCACCTCAGCACTCCCCACCCCCTACTGGAATGAGGCAGGCACTGCCCCTGGCTTCTGGGCAGATACAGAGCATTGCCACAGGAATCCAGGACAAATGCTATCCCAGAGTCATTCAGCCCAGGACCAGAACTTGAAATGTACACTTTGGGATTGTCCTGCCCTATTAGGTATGGGTGGTTGCTCTACTTGAGAGCCCTAATCACACACAGAATCAAGTGATATGTTCTCCTACTCTCTCTTTGAGCCTGTTTCTCCACACCAGCTGATAGACTTCCTGTCTTACCATCATAAGATATGTAGGATGTTTCATGTGATACAGTGATCTTCATGATGTCATGTCCCACAGATGGTGTGTCTAGACTACAGGGTTTTTTTTTTTTAAAGTGGCCTTTTTTCGAAAAAACTTCCTGTGTTTAGACTGATGCCGTGTTCGGTCAACAGTAAATGAAAAGAATGCGGCACTTTTTTTGACCACAGAAAACCTTGTTTTACGAGGAAGAACACCTATTTTCAAAAGTGCTCTTTCAAAAAACAAAACAAAAAAAAAAGCGCTTTATAATTCAAACTGTGCTTTTTTGAAAGAGAACATCCAGTCTGCCTGGGTGCTCTTTCGAAAAAGTGGCTTGTTTTTTCGGAAGTACTGGCTGTAGTCTAGATGTTCTTTTTCGAAAGAGACTTTCAAAAGTATCTTTTGAAAAAGCCTCTTTTGAAAGAGGCTTGCAATCTAGACATAGCCACAGATTTATATACATATCAAAAGACAGATAATTCCTAGATCATAATTAAAAAAACCATGTGTGTTACTCATTAACCAGGCTGTTTTAGAAGGATGATTTTGTTTTAACCTTAAAAAAAAAACAAAAAAAAACGGAGTCAAGATATTTTGAAACTAGACCCCATGTTTGTATGATCTTTAAGCTTTTTCATAGGGTGCATGTCAAACAAAGCAATTGTATCAGGGATTTTTTCCCTTCCAATTTGCAGCTAAAGAACATCTTGCTGCTACCATGTTTAAGAAATGAGGTAGGCCTGAAACTATACCAAAAAAAAGGGGGGGGGGGGGGGGGGACACATTGGGGC